AATGTAAGGTATGCTGCTATATTAATTGTTTTATGTAGCTGTCATCACTGAAGTAAAAATCTGTGACGTCTGTCATAGTGTTKATTGATTTAAGTGTAACCTAAATGTTTCTACCATTGTAAGGCTATCCTGTGGCCATTTTAAGGCCTTTATGAGGCCATACTATGAGTACATTTTCAGGTCTGACTGTGCAAGGTCTGCAAGCCATAAAATATTCAGCTTTTAAGGCTTGTTTTTAAGGCTAACGCATGGCTACTTTTGGTTAAGGTCAGGCTTCGAGATTAAGGCCTTACTAAGGCTTATGTTAGGCCTAAATCAGATTAAAAAGTCAGGCCACAATTAGTCTCGTGTCAGGTCAGATATTTTCGTACGGGGTCTCAAATCAAGACTGTTTTGTCTTGAATTGAGCTATTAAAAACAAGACAACAAATTCTAGTTTTGAAACTAAAACAGGCTTGTTTTGAGATTACTTTTGTCTTGCAATGTCTTGAATTAAGAATTTGCTTTACTCATTTTGAGGAATTCTCCTCTCAAAAAAAGAGGTTTGAGCTTGATTCTAGTATTTTTTCTCTTGAAACAAGACATTAAGTCATTAAAACAAGAAAATAGGTTTAAGAGTGATATAAGTAASTTAGTTTACAATCCGATGAAAACCGCTTTTGCAACAAAAATTTTAGGATATCTTCAGTTCTCTCAACATCGCCAATCATACAAGGCTTACCTTCATTCATTATCATTRACTTTCTARCAGAGCTGTGTCCAAATTCCGTCAAAAATATTGCTTACTTGTATCATAGTTATATGCATCATGCCTACCAACCAAACCAACCTCGTTCCCAGGGCTACTCTGCTCGCTTTTTTCAAAATGGCGGACACATTCTTGTACCCAGACCCTACTCTGTCGGCCTCTAGCGCAGAATAGCGCTGGGAACGCAACTTGGTCTCGGAGACTCGTTTAGGCATAGGCTACCCAACTATCGCTTGAGAGAAAGAAAAGAATGAATGCGCACGCTTTTATATTATGTTATCGAATCGGCGTGCGCTGTGGGTTTAGGCATAGGCTACCCAACTATTGCTTGAGAG